GCTCCAATCTTGCTGAATTATTCAAGCAAAATCATAGCCTTCAATTTGTTTGCTTATCTGGTAGTTTCAGTTAACTTTTGACAAAAACTACTGATCAAATATTGGAAAAATCAGTAATTGTTTTTTGAAAATCCTACATCTATGGTCGAAAAAAGTGATCATTTCAGCCCGGAAAACGGAAGGTGAAATTACGCATTCCGTCTCAGTACATTACCACTGGTTCCAAGGCTAAGAAGACCTTCAGTGTCGGTGTCTTGAATTTGGAGGCGACATTTGCAAAAGAAGAACGTGACTTGCTGTGATTCATTGCTTTGTGTAGAATCCTCTTCAAATACAATTATAATTAATTCAACGGTAGATTACAACAATTGTTATGATTACTGTACAATTTTATTATTATTGCCATTTGTCAGTTATTCCAACGTTGAAGTAATAAATATAATTTGATGACTGAAGTAAAGGGATTTTTATTTTTTACTTGACTGATTTGGTGGTTCGCCAAAACCTTCATACTTTTACTTCACTTTTTCTGATTACTATCTAGTTGAGTTTTCGTAAATTTTAAGTTTGGAATATCAAACTGAAATAGTTCTCTGATATCTATTATGCAAATGCATTGCAATTCTAACTTGTAATTCATTTGATTTTACCCTCTAACCTTTAATTCCATTAACTATAATTCTAAAGATTCAAATATGTGATTTTATTTAGGTCAACGAATTGTGAATGTAATTAAAAATGAGAGCAACTGATTTGTCATCTTTAATAGTAATGCGGAGTAAATTTTGTTAGAAAAGTGCATTACGTTAATATTTGGCGTTAAATACGTCCGGATGACTGATATAAATTCTTCTCCAACGAAACAATGATAGTGATTATAACGATAATGCTATTATGAAAAATAATGATTTCCTGGCATTACAATAGTAAAAATGACTTTTAGAATGCATTTTGTAGTCACTTTAGTGGTATTTCGTTTTTCCAATGTTACTCCCACAAGTTTTAGACAACAATCTGTTCAATGAAGATTTGGATACAATTTTTTTGTTTCTCATTCCTGCACCTAATTAATCACATTTGCAAAGCGATGTCACATACAGTTAAGATACTGTGAAAAAGCCGAGTGAAATAATGGCACAACATTTGATCAGGCAGCGATAAAATAGAGATCGAGAAAAAGTTTTCATGACCCGACTCAGATGACCTTTTACAGGAAGTTTATACTGGTGCACAAGAGATGGTTTTCTTGCAAGGTGGTACCGAAGAATTAACTGGTTCGGGATCCAGTAGTGAAGATTTATCATGACTGTGATGATTCATTAAAGAGCGTCTACTCATATTTACTTTTGTTTACATTCCAAATATTCTTGACAGTTTCTATCAATTTGATTTATTATATAGAAGTTAATTCTAAATAACTGGCAAATCTTTCGGCTTGATTAATGAATATCGACTGGTTTAATGAGGCAAATTCATATTCATTAATTAACTGATTCTAGCCGGATCAACGAAAGGTCAAGCTCAAAATCTTATCTCAATACCTAGGTGGAAGGCGCCAATAGAGCATTCGATTTAGATACAATATTTCCAGTTGGTTCTTTATTAAGTGTTACATTTCACAAATTTTGATCTACTAAGATGGTAACAAGTGTAACTACAGACGGTTGATGGAACAACTTCACTTCTTTCTTTGATACTTTAAAAATACTTTGTATATACGTTTGCGATATGAGTAATTCACATCCTTTATGGAATTTTCAACACGTCATTTCATTAGTTTTTTTTAAAACTTCTGATGACAACTGACTGCGAATTTATGGAAGGATTACATTGCAGTCTGTTGCTTCTTTTAGAGGCAATGAGTGGAACGTTTGTGCAGTGAAAGATACGGATGAGATTATGGAAGAATGGCTGTTAACGAATTTAACAGTTGCGAATTGAAAAAAGAAAAATAAATGATTGACTAATCATTGCAATGAAATTCATCACTGACAGGTTCTGCTATCGCCTTAGTTCGCTGACTTTACGAGTCACATTTGCTAAGAATACAAATGTATAAAAACAATTGCTAAGTAATAAATAATATTTGCAGCTGTCAGTACATAATTTATTTGGGTTGCTTAAGAGCCATCTCATTCCTTCACTACCATTTTCGATGGAATGTATGAAAGTGAGAGTCAATTAAGCACTTTTGATTTATGACTTTTTGAAAATATCGAAGCGAAGCTATCTTTTCAGTATTGGGTTGCGATGCAAGTCTGTAAGTCAGAAGGAAAAATATATAGCAAAAGAATGAAGTGCGTGTAATGATAAGATTTTTCACTAATTACGTTGCAGCTGTTGATGAGTTGTTGTTAAGTTTGAATGTAATGCAGTTATTCAAGTATTTCTTGATGGAAGTTACGGTCACTTGAGTGCATTTGTAACGAACTTAGTTCTGACCACGTGGATGTACCTTGCATTTTTTTCTGTGATTTCAAATTGTTTTTTGCGTGTTTGTGATGATTTGAAGTTGTAATTATTTGCTGATATTAATTTATCTATATATAAAATGTGCAGTGTTTATAGTTGTGAATGCCAGCACTTTTTTGAACTGTTAGCTGAATTTTGTAATATAGTACGTCAAGAGTTGCGTTATTTATTATTTCAAATTTTCAAATCATATAAAGATTTTAAACTCGACACTATAAACGGATCAAGTCTGGACTTTCCGAATACGATTAACTCACAGACGCTTCTCTCTATCAGTTTTTTTATCTTCATGAAATATTAAAAAATTGTTCGTGAATTTGATTTAGTAACAATGTTAAATATATCTGCTCAGGCTTTTCTGCTTTTCACATCAAAATTTCTCTATTTTCGTAATATAACAAAATTAAAATAATACCATTGACTTCATACTTTAGACAAATGCGTATATGTTCTTCATAAAAACAACTTATTGGAATTAATCAATTGAAATCTCATTTTATTCTTGTAAACACATACATTTCCAACTGTTGTTCGTATTGTGAGTGCGTTCACTTCCATCCGACCCTGATGCACGAATTTTCGGTGCTTTGACGTGTGAGTGTTGTGCCACAATGATTGGAGGTACGCTTATGCGTTGCGAGTACTCACTGTGTTGGTCATTTGACTTCAAATGTATTAGGATTGTGATTCGCTGAGTAAAGAAAGACATCAAGCCGATAAAGGGAGTGAGGAAGTGAGGGTCTATTGAGCACTTGTGATTTATGACTTTTTGAGAGTATCGAAGCGAAGTTATCTTTTCAGGGATTGAGCTGAGATGCAAATCTGTG